CGCTATAAGACTACTATATCATATGAGTTGTACTGGGGCATTGATCATCGATCGATGACCGACATCGATTCTGTAAGAAATATAGCAGCCGCGACTCTACGAGAAAATTATGTGTTTTGTACTTTGGTAAAACATTCATTAAAATATTAAAGGGGTTGTCCATTAGTACAAAAGTTTGCTTTTATGTTTACGAGGACTTTAGTTACAACTAGTAAGAATATTCTTAAAATCGCCAGCAGTAATTAATAAATTAAAAACATCGGTGATTTTTGTCGACCATGTCTGGCAATTAAAATTCTTATTGCAAAAAATATTACCCCAGCTAGGATTCGAACCTGGAACCTCCCTACAATCCGTGACGGCCGTGACTGGGGCACAGCCCCAGTGGTCGAGCTGGCTAAGACGCCCGTCACGGCGTAGGGAGGTCCCAGGTTCGAATCCTGGCTGGGGTAATATTTTTCGCAATAAGAATTTTAATTGCCAGACACGGTCGACAAAAATCACCGATGTTATTAATTTAATTACAACTTTGTTTTTTTCCTGAGATTTATGAGATTTACTTCAACAATACTGTGAGAAAATATTTTATTTACTTCGATAAAATATTGATAAATTTTTTTTACGTCGATTAAAATATTTTTTCACAACAGAATGGAGATTGTTCTGATATCTTAATTATTGAAATAAACATTGAATTAATTTGATTATATATACATACTTTATTTATTATTTCCTGCAATATTTATCTGAGCAGATAAAGATCGATTTGACGTCGACTAGATGTCGACTAGACGTCAATAAATTGTTCTAGCTGCCTAATTAAATGTAATTTTTTACTGCGTTAAACTATATTGTTAAATTTTCTTTCTGCGTATCGTTTCATATACATATACATATAAAACCATAGGCAGAATATCGATATGTGATCGACGTCGAATTGATTATACAGTTTGAATCGACAAGACATCGACATCAGTGACAAAAAAAGATCGATGTCGATTTTAATTTCGATTTCATTTCGAACACGTATATCGACGTCGATTTGATGTCGGATCGACATTTTTTATCTCACTGGGTTGTTCTAACAACACTGGTTTAGATCTGCCCCCTTTTCGGGCATGCGCAGTGCAATACGGCATCAGCGAAGTAGTAACCTCTGATATACATATGTATAAAGGTCCTGTGAAGGCCTTGTTTTTATACTACTTGGGTTGAAAAGTCCCGGGATTTTTAATGAAAACAAGCGTTTTTTAGGCAAAGTTTTTCCTATTTATTCCTCAACATAGTTGCCTTCGAGAGCAATACACTTTTCATAGCGAGTTTCCAACATTTTGATGCCCTTTCTGTAGTACGAAACGTCCAAGCCTTCGAAATACGCCTCGGTTTCCGCGATGACTTCCTCATTCGATCTGAATCTCTTTCCCTGGAGCCACCGCTTGAGGTTTGAGAATAGATAATAGTCGCTGGGAGCCAAGTCTGGAGAATACGGTGGGTGAGCAACCAATTCGAATCGTAATTGGCCCAATTTGATCATCGCTTTCAAAGATGTGTGTGCCGGTGTGTTATCATGATGGTACAGAACTTTTTTCATCGCCATATGAGGCCGTTTTTTCTTTATTTCGTCGTTCAGTTTGTCCAATAACGTTGCATAATACTCTCCTGTGACTGTTCTTCCCTTCTGCAGATAATCGATGAAGATTATAGGCTTGTTTTCTGTTCCTACACTAGTGAACTAGTGCAATAAATTGGAGTAAGACAAGCATATTTTTTCTCATTCTAGCTTACTGCACTAGTTCACCAGTACAGGAACAGAAAACAAACCCTATGCCATGTGCATCCCAAAAAACGGAGGCCAAAACCTTCCCGGCCGATCTTTGGTCTTTTGGCCGCTTTGATCGGCTTTCGTGGCTTTCCAGCCACTGTGCAGACTGCCTATTGGACTCAGGCGTATGGTAATGGACCCACGTTTCATTCGTTACAAAACATCGAAAAAAGTCCGCTCGATTACGCCGTAACAACGCTAAACCGGCCATTGAAACATCAACGCGCTCCTGTTTTTGGTCGACGGTCAGCAAACGCGGCACCCATCGAGCCGATAGCTTTTTCATCTCCAAAACATCGTGCAAAATGTATCCCGCCCGTTCTTTTGAGATACCCACGGCCTTAGCTAACTCGCGCAACTTCACTTTTCGATCATTCAAAACGATTCGACGCACTTGCTTGACGATTTCCGCATTCGTAGCCTCTTTTGGCCTTCCAGAGCGAGGTGCGTCTTCGGTGCTTGTACGACCCATTTTAAATTCAGCAAACCACCTATAAACTGTTGTTCTCGAAGGAGCAGATGTGGGATAACATTCCTGCAACCATTGCAATGATTGTTCGGAAGTTTTTCCCATAAAAAAAACAATGTTTGATCAAGACGCGATACTCCTGTTTTTCCATTATTTTTACTACGGCGAAAGTTGCGTCACCCAAACGACTGTTATAGCTTCCAAACGAATGGACGAAATGTCATGAAACTTCATACATAAACTAGTGACAGATGAGAGTCTCGCAATGGCTCATGATCATTTTCTAGTGTTGCCACCTATTGAAAAATCCCATGACTTTTCAGCTCATTCCACGTAACAATTCAACATCTTTTAAACGTCTAAAGGACGTCCCGTTCGTCATGCATGGACATCCGTATGATGTGAGGAAGACGTCCAGTAGACATCTTTTGTACGTACAATGTACCGCCCAAAGACGTCTAGTAGACATCGTTCGTACATACAGTCTATCGCCCAAAGACGTCCAGTAGACATCGTCAGTACGTACATTGTACCATCCAAAGATGTTGACGCGTCATTCTAACGACATTTATAGGACGTCTTTGGGTCCAATGGCTGCGTTTAGCAGAAAAAGCTGTCTTGCAATTGTTGTAATTTAACAATCCTGAATCTGATGCTCTAAGATTCAGCAATAAGAACATACACCAATCAGATTCATACATTTTATAATTGTAAAACAACTTTTTCTGCTAAACACAGCAAATGTATCCAATAAATGTTACATTCTTCCAGGATATACAATCGATTTAATGTAGACGTCAATTTTATACATATTTGTATATATGTTTGTATTAAAAATTTTTATATACATTTTGTATATAAAAATTTTTTATATAAAAATTTTTTATATAAAAATTTGTTTGTATAAAAAATTTTTATATACATTTTTATATACTGATTATACATGAAATTTTTTTTACCGGGGTCTGTTATACATTTAACGATAAAAAGACATTTTTCAGAACTATTATCCAAACATCTGTACTACAAATATATAAAATAATCTCATCCACACTATTCTTTAAAAGAAATACAATTTAAAAAATTGTATTTAATAGAAAATCAGACATATTGACGATATACTTTGGACGTCCCTAAAATGTCTGCGTAAATAACTTTATTATTGGATGTCCAAACGACGTCCTTGAGACGTATTTTAGACATCCGTCGACATAAACGGGACATCGACATAAACGGGACTTTTCAAGACATATTTCGGACATCCAAAGGACGTCGAATTGTTGCATGGGATGTAG